AGGTCTTGAAGATAAAAAGAGAAAGCTGACTCTGATGATCAAAAGTCTCAAGGAAAAAAGAAAATAACTCTTTTCCCAAAGAGATTTGCTAATAAAAGCTTTGACAACACAAGGGTGCACTCAGTGAGGCCAGCATCCCCTCTGACACTCTGTACTATTGCCGTAGTTCCTTGATTGTAGTGAGTGTCCAATAAACAATGTTTGATCAATGTTTTACTCATACATTAACGCTAACGGCATGCTAGACTTTGCTGCAGAACTATAGATGGTAGAAGATGGAAACTTAAATGAATTCAGAATGTGATGTTTTGACATGGTACTGATATGGTAGTGCAATCTGAATAGAGGACGGAGAACCTTAATTGTAAAAGCAATCACCTGAACTATGCTGACTTTTAAAATTGAGATTGGTCCACTCAAGATTGCCCAAACCTAGTTGGTAACTTTATAGATTAGTGGCAATTTTTTATAGCTCATCTTTTCTTAATTCAAATAGCTTTATGTTTGTAGTCATTATTGTTAGTGTAAATTTGTACACCAGTTAAAATAGTGGTATTGCAAACTAATTTGGAAAGGCAAATATATAACTTGATTATTTGTTTTTTGAGGAATTTTCATGAAATTATTTTCTTTGACATGATAAATTGAGAGTTAATGACTACAACAATTTTTGAAGAATTGTACAGGACACTGAAGAAGCATGCTACATATATATGTAGGAAGACAGCATAATGAAACTCACCAAACACTGTTTGAAAAAAGGAGAAGGGGAGAAGGAAATATAATGGCAGGGCGTGTGTGTGAACATGTTCCAGACACACTGTACACATGTATGGAATTACCATAATGACATTCTCTAGTATTATTAATGTATACCAATTCAAAAAGAAAACTGGGTCTGTGGTGTTGGGGATGGAACCTAGGGCCTCATATGCGCAGGCAACTACTCTATCATTGAGTTACATCCCCAACCTGCTTAAAAATACATAATATGCTTTATTCCAGAATATTCTGGGGGGAGAAGTCCCTCTTCCTGTTTTGTTTTTTGGAGGCTATTAACATGATAAATTGTTGGAACTGAATCATTTTTGAAAAGTGTTCTGGACAGCCAGCAAAAAGTTGTAAGAATAGTAGAATTACTGTTGCTCTCTTTTGTGCTGTAAAAAATTAAAATCTGTTAGAATGAGGTTATTCCACAGGTCTGGTTGCTTTCTGGGACAGCATAACACTATGAGACTCAATCTGACCTAACTAAGAAAACATTTATTAAGCACTTATATGTGTGAGAGTCTACATTGAATCAAGGAAAACTTTGGTTATCAGTAGTGGTTTGTTTTTTTTTTAACACCAGCCCTAAGTCCAAAAATCATTCATAAAACAATATTTTACTATATGTCCTCCAGAAATCAGCTTTCCACAAACCTTCCTTTGTACCTCACCTTTTTTTTTTTATCCTGGAAGACATTTCTTTCCCATCTCATCTTTGCATTCCTCATTACTGCAGAAGCTCAGTACCAAGTCACTCACAGTGTTCATTCTCACTCCCTTGTATAATGGTGACCAAAAGATCATTATGCTATCAGCTATCTTCCCATCTTATAGGTGACAACAGTAGAGTTGACAGAACCCTATTTTACACTGATATAAAAACTGTATAACTACTCCTTATTTTTTTTAAACAGGAGTTTCAATGTAATTAACAATTTTGATAAGAAAGAGGTGACATTCTGATTGTTAATGTTTAAGCTAATATGTAGAGGGGGCAGAATTGGAAGAGGTGGCTAAATGAGTAGGATGAGTTCAGTTAACTGCTTAATGATGATTTCAGAAGACCCAAAGGCTCTCTTATCTGTCACAATAGCAATGTTTTTTAATATCTGAAAGCTTCATATTCCGATTGAAGGCTCTTTCTGCCTCCCTGTTTTCTTTATAAAGTTCCCAGCCTCAAGTATTTTGTTATAGCAACAAAAGATAGACTAATACAGGCAACTTTCCTGTTTTTCAGTCTTGCTGATGGTTGGTATTATACAAAAAATAAAATCTGATTTGCTAAGAGACTGATCTATAAATACTTTTCTATAACTTTAAAAACAATTTTAAAAAGTTATAGTAGTACAAGAACCTCCTATGTGCTTTTTATCCCAATTTGCTAAAAGCCCCACTTATCCCGTCATCTCTCCCCGTATTTCATTTGTTATGCCTCTCATTTGCTTAAATCTGAGTTTCCATCTGTTATCATTTCTCTTTAGATCAAACAGCTTCCTTTAGTATCTCACATAAGACCTGCTGCTTATCAGTCCTTTTAATTGTCATTTATCTAAAATTATGTCATTTATCCTGATATAACTATTTTGATTAAATTCCTTTCCTCTAAACATATTTATAGTTATATAATAGGGACCTAGAGACTGCTTTTGCTAAAAAGCACTAACTCTTCACTTGGGCCTGAAGGCACCTGAAAAGCAGACTAAAAGCTCAGAACCTTCACACTGGTATCCCTCGGGTCCTAGAAACAAAATCTCAAGCAACGCAGGCCTCTTTCAAGGGTTGTCTTCCTCTGGTCAGTATGCTTCTGATCACCTTTGAAGAGTTGTTTATCAATTGTTCAAGCTCATAGCCATTATCTGTAGGAGTCAATCTGACACAGTCACTCTGCCACTACCAGAAGCAGCACCTACCAACGCTTTAAAAACACAAAAGTAAAACATCAATTCTACCACTGTTTACAAGTAAATTAATTTAGCAAGTATTTACTGAGCACTTTCTTTGGGCTAGTTATTATGCTAATACTAGGTGCTAAAAATCCTTTCAGATACCAGAATTGTATTAAATTATAGTCACTTGAATGGGCCCAGTGTTTAAAGTATTTCATGTGTGTGTGTGTATCTGGGGACTAAATCCAGAGGCAAGCACTTTACCACTGAGCTATGTACCCTAGACCTGATTTTTTAAATTTCAAAATAAAAATGGTATTCAGAGATGCAACCCCATCCCCCATCTAAAAAACAATGAAAATGATAAAACACATTTACTTGTCCTTTCACAACTACATTACGTGGTGCATTTTCTTAAGAAACTCAGATTTCTTTAGCCAAAACTATTTGCAGTTAAGTTTAAGAACATCAAGTTAATTGCTTTCTTCAGGTAATTTGAAATGTGTTAAAATATATTTTATGAACATCTCAAGGATGGAGCCATGTAAGTGAGACCTCTGTTGTTTCTCCAAATGGAAGAAAAGAAACTCGAGTTATAAACATCAAACATCAATGAGGAGAGCAATGCAGTGCTACTGCTGCCTGAGTCTTGGGGCTGGCCTCATGTGCCTGGCAGGTGAGTGGCCTCTCATCTCACCTTCCTACCTGGCATGTAGAATATTAGTCATTTGCATAAGTGGTTTTTGTTTTCTCTGTGTCTCCATAAAGGCAGGGATACATTAGCATAGAGGCCAATGCAAAAGTCCCACCCAATCTTAGTCTCACTGGGGTTAGAGGTCAGGCAAAGTTTCCATGCCTGCTCCACCCTAGTTCTCAGCTCAGTTCCTCATCACCAGTCTCAAATCTTCACACAAGACCTGCCCCACCCACACAGGCACATAGAAGGATGAGAGGGACAAAAAAGGGAAGAGATAGGGCATTTTTCTTCCATGTAGTTTTGTGTAAGTTTGACTGTGTTCATTAGAGATTCAAGTGGGAAATCAATTAAGAGCAAGCCCCAGTCTACTCTGTCTCATTTTGAACAGAGGCCTGACGTTACAATGATTTTGTCATAAACCCTGCCTTTGATTTTCTGATGAATCACACAAACAGCTCAACCTGACACAGCGTGAGGCTAACTGTGCCTTTTGAAGGCTAACTTTTTCCCTTGGTGCAGCTGGCTGGCATCAACTGGACATCCAGTCATCGAACTTAAAACAAACTTATGCTGTGTGCCAATCCAGGCTGACCAGTGCTTCCTGCTGGATCTTACTTGGTAAGAGGGAAGAAGGAAAGGAAGAACATGAGTGCTCATTACTACTTTGTTAGTCACTCCAGTTTTCTTCCAAAGAAAACAGTTCCATAGAATCCTCAGTGGGTGCGGGGGCAGGAGCAGGGTGGTCAGCTGGGGTCACTTTGAAGTGTGGCTGCAGGACTTCCACCTTTTCGCAGCTCAGCTGTTGAAGCAGGGAAGAAACTTCAAAGTTGGACCTGCTGTTCCTGCCGGCGGGGTGTGTGTGATTCCTAACACTTAGGTTTAAGGGAAAATGCAGAGGAATTCATCCTCTCACTTGCCAAGGGCTGTTGTTCACCAGTTTTTAGTTATGTCTGTCTCTCTTAGTGGATGCAAATAAAACAATTGATTTCCTTGTGTGGTTTATATTTACTTATGTACATTATTTTTATAAGTCATACGATAGCCAGTTTTTACAACTTTTCCAGGTTTGCAACATCAGTGACAAGTAAAACCCTGCTTCTCCCAATTAAATGTTCTGCCCGTGGAAACATTGGGGAGGGCGTCCAAATTTCATTGGGAATTTGAAACCTGTTGTTAGTTCATTATCTGTGACCCTGCCCCTCACCTCCTCCTTCTATAGCAAGGCTTAAGACTGTCCCCTGGCCTCTCTGCTACCTCCAGCCTCCATTTGAGAGTTAAGAACTATTTCATCTGGTCAACAAAGCACTTTGTACAATACAGTTCTGAATGATATAAATAAATTTTAAAAGTAAATGCAATTTCCCTGAATGACTTTATTTAGTCTAAACCTTAAATTTTCATTTAAAAGTTATACTCTTTAATTTCACAAGAATAAAGAGAAAAGGGCAAGCGTGGTGTGCATATCTAATTCCAGCACTCAAGGCAGAGGCAGAAGAATCTCAAGTTCAAGGCCAGCCTGGGCTACAATAGTAAGACCCTGTTTCAAAACCAAAACAAAGCAAAACAATAAAGAGAAAAGGAAATAATACAAGAAATAATTTGCTAACGCTTAAGAATATGTTTAATTTAAAAGCAGATTCTTTGAGTTATACAGGTAGCTGAATTTCCTTGTTACCACCTCCAAATAGCTTTTATTTAGATAAACATGAAAAACTATATAAAAATATTTCATTGTACAGTACCAAATGGTACAAGAGGGTCTTCAGCAAAACTTATGCTAAAGAAGCAGAGAAAGCAGACAGTAACGTAAAACAGTGACAGTGATGACTGAAGCATAAGCTGGCAACACCAAGATAGAGGTGTCCACTTGTCCAACAGCAGGGCCCCAGTATGACCTAAAGAAACCCATGCTAGCAAAGAACCCCGGGAGTAAAGACAAAACAAAACAACTCCTGGGGACATAATTAAGGGGGAAACCTTCTAAAATTAGCAGATGGGTCTGCTTCATGATGAAAGAGAGATTATAAGTTGTACAGCACACTACACAAGTTCTGAAGAAACAAATATCACTAATTCAATTAAAGAATCATTAACACTAATAAGAACACAAATCAATCTGTTATTGATGTTGCACTTAACACAGAACACAATCTAAGAGAAAGTTATTCCAATAGAATAACTTCATTTTTTAATTCTGCAAAACTATTTTAACCAAGTGACATAGCTCCAGGATTCTTGCTCCCAAAGACATGTTTCTAATTTCTCACTGATTTACCCTGAAGAAACCAGATTTTCACAAGGAATGGCCCATCTCTGGTCACAATGCATCCTTTTGGGCACACATAGGCTCTGTGTTCAGGCCTCTGGACATGTGTAACAAGTGACTGCAAGAAGCAATAAAAAAGAGCAAAACCTAACATCAAAGCAGGGAAAAGTCACACATAAGATGACTTTACGCAGGCAGCAGTTTTTAAATGAGGTTCATGGCTTAGTGGAGGGCTGTGGTGCTGACTGCTGCACTGCTTCACTACTTCTGTGCTGTTTTCTCCATTTCATTCCAATGAGAGCTGCACACTGTCAGCTTGACTTTGTGGCTGCTGATAGTCATACTTCCTTGCTATTAAAAAAGCAAGAAGAGATAAAATTAATAAAGCACAAAATAATTACTAGCTAACATTACGAAATCACAATCAAGTCATGAATCTCAGTAAAGAATTAGTTTAGACTTAAGCAATTCTATTTCTTTAAAGAGAGTTAATTATACTCCACGATCCTCTAATTCTCAACACTGCTCATATTCACCTTACTTTATTATGATTATTTACACATAAGCAGCACTCAGAACTCTAAAACAGGGTAAATATTAATTAGGCTATCAATGTTTTATAGTTTCCTTCCTTTATTTCCTCTTTATTTCTATCTTAAATTAATAATGATGCTTTTGTCCAAACTGTAAGGAACATGACTATATTTTAACTTACAAACTTAAGAGAATTATTGAACATAACTGTCATCATTTTAACTAGAAGAAAAAACATAAGCAATTCTGCCTTCTTCTTACTAACAAATACTTATTTACGGAAAACTATATTAACCTGAAATTAGAGTTAAAAGTCTTTGTGACTGTGACTGAACTGCTTAGCTTTAAACTTTCAACCAACTCAAGTTTTAACCAGCCAAGAAAGAGTTAGCACTTGCTCATGTTGCTCAGAGGAGATTCAGATTTTTTGTGGCCTTGAAAGAACTGGAGTTCTCCTTAAGAAAAAGAATCTTGTTTGCTATTTCCTCTTGAGCTGGCAGCCTTTCTCAGGACAAGATATATCATGAAACTAAGAATGATCTATTAGCTGGAATTCACTTAGTGGGAAAATCCACACAAATATTCATTTTTGTTTATGAAAATAACAGCTCCCGAAGATGTCCACATTCCAATCCCCATAATCTGTGACTGTTACTTACAGTTCAAAAGCAACTTTGGAGATAAGATCAAGGTAAGAATATGGAAATAGGGAGATTACCCTGGATCCCCTACTAGTTTTACCTAATCATACTGGCCTTAAAACCAGAGAACCTTTTCCTAGCTAAATTCACAGACAGAGGGAAATGTAAGTACGGAAGAATAGTTAGACAGAGTCAATGTTCCTGACTTTGAAAACAGAGGAATGGGACCATGAACCAAGGACTGTAGGCAGCCTTTAGACACTGGGAAAGGATAAGAAAACAGAGTTTCTCCTAAAACCTCCAGAAAAATGGATCCCTACTAACAATTTCGGCCCAGTGAAATTGCTGTATGACTTATAACCTACAACATATTGCCTACTTATGTTGTATTGTTTTAAGCCATTAAACTCAGGTAATTTGTTATATTAGCAATAGAAAAGTAATATACGCCACAAACATTTATCAGGAGTTTTGATAAATTTAATCATTTTCATTATAAAAGAAAACAATAGTAAAGTGGGTTTATAATTGTTTCATAGCATATATTACTGGTAAGAGAGAACTGTCTTGAAGAGGAATCAATAAAAACTTAATTCCTTACTTATAATTTTCTATAAAAAAGCTTTAGGCTCTGTGTACTTTTTCAAACTACTTAAATTTTAAAGGATTTCTTATTGTTGTAAAATATACATAATATTAAATGTACCCTCTTAATCATTATACAGGTGTACAGTTCAGCAGCATTAAGTACATTTGGAATGTTGTGCAAACATCACTACCATCCACCCATCCATCCGCCATCTTCCCAAACAGAACTTTATACCCACTAAACACTTCCTTTTAGAGCCCTGACAACTGCTATTATACTTTTTGTTTCTGTGGTTTGCCTCATATAAGTGAAATAGGTTAAGTATTTGTCTATCTGTACTGGCTTATTTCACTTAACATCATGTCTTCCAGGTTAATCCATGTTGTAGCATGGGTCAGAGTTTCCTTCCTTTTAAAAGCTTAACAGCGTTCTTTGCATTCACAAACCATATTTTCTTTATAAATTCACCTGCCAAGGACATTTGGGTTATTTCTGTCCTTTGGCTACTGTGAATAATGATTCTATGTCAAAATAAGTTTTATTTCTTATTTTGCACCGGTAACACACGCATATCGTACAAAATGCAAAAGGAACTAAGTGGTGGAGTGGCTCCCACTATCCAGTAGTCTTATAGCTGACTCCCCAGTTTTTCCCCCTCAAGGGAACCACTGCTACTGGCTCTTAGGATACAATTTATGCTGAAGAAAACTTTCAGGCTCTACTTGACTGAAAGCTATACAGTTGGACTTCTGTATCCAAGAATTCAACCATGTACTGAAAATACTTGAAATAAATTATCTGTACAGAACATGTTCAGATTTTGTTCTTGTTATTATTCCCTTAACAACACAGTAGAGCAACTATTTATATAGCATTTACATCATAGTAATCTACAGATGAAGCATACAGTTTATATGTAAACATACCACTTTGTAAATGCACCTGGACATCTGTGGAAGATTGTATGTATATATACTTCTATTTTTCACCCAAAATTCCGTATGCCTGAGAGATACACCAGTAACATCTTGCTGATCATCCTGTTTTGCTTTTTATGTATGTGTATGTGCACATGTACACACATGAAAGCATACACACACACTTGAGTTTTTACTGTGGACATTTTTCTTTAAAATTATCAGTCTTTTTTCCTTAAACCCCAAAAAGCAGCCATCAAAGCAGAGGACGTCAATAACCTGCCATACACCTTCTCGTGCCACCCCGTCCTGTGCCTGCATGACACACAGAGCATTTATATTACACATGGATGATAAAAAGGATATTCTGGTCTTTGATTTTACAACAGCAGCATCCTGGTACATCTTCCTATTCTCACTTTACAGTATACAATGGCAACCACACCTCATTTTTTCAAATGGAGACATTAAAGGCTATGTCTTAGATGTATTCATTCATCTTTTTTTTTTTTTCACTGCCCACATCTGCTGGTAGTCTTCAGAACTATAGGACATATAATACTGAGCTATGACTTTGGGCTTTATGCCTCGAGGTCATCTATCACACTGCTGGAAGCCATTCCCATACTACTTTTGCTGGTAGTAATTTGGCTACTTCAATGCCACCCCATATGAGGGGAAGTGCAAAGGAGGAAAAATTAGAATGGAAAAGATAGAGGTCTTAACTGATGGCTAAAATCTCAATTTTTGCAAAATTTATAACAACACAATCACGTGAAGACACTGGTAAGGCACAAAGGGTCTGAGTGGCCGGCTTCGTGGTAAATCCCCCTTTGCTGAAAACTGTGTCAACATCTGAACAAGACATGACATTTTTATAACTAGCTATTCTTGATAATCTTTTGCTAATTGGATTCAATTCCAGAAAATCTATTTAAAATATGCTATGTATATAGCTTAGCACAGACTATACTTACATATGGAATACATTTCCAGTTGCTGCCTTAAACGAATTTTGCTCATTGTGTCATAAAAGTTGGGCTCTGACAAAGTTTCTTCTGCAGGCGGCACATTGAATATCCTCATAATTTTCCTTTTATTCCTAAACACAAAACCAGTGAAGAAGAGAGATTTGTTTTAATGTCTACAGCTACAGGACTATAATTATGAATTATTCTCATGGTCCTGGCAATCAGCAGCTACATTAAAAGGACTTAAGTGACAATAGTCTATTTTATTTTCTATTTTGTCATTGTAAGATGATTCCTTGGCTCAAGTGTTCTTTTCTCACTAAAAGTATCAGGCAGTACATGTAGCAGTATGCGGTAGAAAAGAAATGCTAAACACTCCATTTACTATAACAAGGTGATTCTCCCACTTCTAAAAGAAAAGCCATTGTATGAAAAAAATGCATACACAAAAAAATCTCTCTTCCCCTCTCATGTCATCCAAATAAGGAACAAGTTATTGGGGTGGAGAATACACTGAGTGTGAGCTGACCTTAAATTTGCAAATTCATGAATAAAAATGTTTCCTAAAAATAAAAGCATGGCCTTAGTGGAGACACCTTTTTAAAAATAAGAACAGTGTGTCTCTGCTTTTAAAAGGTAAGTGTGGAGGAGGTGGTGACTCTTTTTAGAGGAAAGCTGCTACCTGCAAGCAGAAGACATGTAAGCGTTCTCCCATCCGCTGCCTAGAGTCCACCTGGCCGATGTCCAGCTGTTCCAGGACAGCCATGTGAGGGGACAGGGGGAAGGGCAATCTACGCATCTCAGAGAAAGTGTGGGCTCTGAATATTCCCAGGCCAAACAAACATGAGATCTGGAGTATTCTTTTGAACTATGTAAGGACTTTTTTTTTCTTTTACCTTAGAAGATGACTAAATGATTCCCTGAAGCATATGACACAATTTACTGCAGCTAACACTGCTTGTCCTCTTTAAAGTATACTCCTCCCTTTATTTATTATTAGTAGTATTTTTTATCATACTTAGGGGAAAGGAGCCAGGAAGGAAGAAAAGAGGCTGTGAAATTAAGCCATGGCATCTGGAATCAAGGCAGAAAATACTTTTTTAAGAATCTGTACCACATGGCACATGAGTGACACAAAGGAAAAGATAAGGTCCTTTTTCTCAAGGTGCTCAAGTTTTTGTAGCTAAAGAACAAACAAGTAATCAGATAAAAGCTGTGCCATTTAGAAGTGCTACGACAGCACCATGCACAAGATACAGGAAAAAGCTTTAGCTGAGTGAAGAGTGATTGGCTGAATACCTAGGAGTTAGTGTTTCTGCATTTCAGGGACTAGAGCCAAAAGAAAATGTGCTCATTGCAAAGTGACAACAACCCAAGTTGATGATAAAATTGCAGAAGTGACAGCACTGGAAGCTTAGAGCAGCTGGCTCTAAAATAGAGCTGAATTTAAACTTTTATCTCTTAAAACAATAGGGATTTCAAAACCAAACCTTGGTCACCAATGGACCAAGGAGGAGAGGTCAGCGGAGACAGCACCTTCAGAGTAGTACAGAATTTCTGATGAAATTACTTTTATGCATTTAAGTAGGATTAAAAAAAAAACATGCAAAACTCTTAACCCCCCAGTTTCTTATCTACTCGGAGATACTAACAAATTTACCTCTTGGCATACATGAAGAGACCAAAGCTAACAAGGATCACTATCAAGTAAACATTGGTGGCTTCATTCCAGGCCTCGTGAACAGTGTAATCAATAGAACCATCATCGTCCATTGCTCCGTAACTTCCAGCCATAGGGCTGTAAGAAAGGAAAGAAAGTAGGGATGGCAAACATGTGGCCTGCTGGCTGGTCCAGTCCTCTGTCCATTCTCTATGGCCTGTGAACCAAAAACGGTTTTACATTTCTAAACAGGTACATAGCATTCATTTATCTATTTTCAGGTGCAGAGGCTCAAACCCAGGGACTCACACGTGCTAGGCACTTTACCACTTAGCTACCCCTGCAGCCCCTCAATAGGTCCATTTTAAATGAGTATGCCTACCTACATAATATCCCCAATTTGCCTCTCTGCCCACAGAGCCTAAAGCAGTTTAAATCTGGCCCCTTAAGGAAAAGTTTATTGGCCTGATCTAAGTTGTTAATGCACATAATACATTTTCCCTTATTTTTGACTTTGAAACATTACAGCTTCTATATAAAGCCTAAAATGTGGGATAAAAAATAATTTTGCTAAAAGGATGAAAGTTGAAATGTCACTGCAGTTTCCAAATTGTAACCATCACCCAGATGAAAGCAAGAGAATCCTTTCAAATACTAGCTGCTCTCCTGACAGCAGCCTAGGAAAGAAGGGACAGCCTCCCAGCACATCCCCAAGTCTGGAGCTGGATGGAGTTTGAGCCCCCTGGCCAACTATGACTGAAAGAAGCTATGGGATAAAAAGTTACTTTTTGCTATTTATACAGCTGTGACTTCTATTCAAGGAAGTGCATTCTTTGGACATTCTCACAGAAAGTTAAGAGTGATAATCACAAATGTATCAAATAGCAAGTAAAAGAATGATTTCTTATTAGTGTTTGAGAAGTTAATTGAATTTTTCCTTCAAGCGAGAGTGCCTCCATTGTGTTGGACATAGAAGTTAAGTCTAAGTAAAATGATTTAATATATGAGGAAAATCCAGAAGCCTTGTTTTAAACACTTTGTAAAAAGGAGAACAATGAAACAAATGGTAGGTGATAAGTGTACTGTAGTTTCTAAGAATAAGACAGTCATTCTTTTAATACCAAGAAAAGAGAGTATCTGGAATGCCCCAGAAGTTGTTTTGCAGTCTTTGTCTAAGCTGCCTACAACAATGAAGGTATGGCAGAAATTCTCTCCCTAAACCATTTGCAGTCTATCCTGCAAACCAGCCAGTCCTTACTCGTGATGTGGCTCTATAAGTCAATAAGCATGTACTACCGTTTCTTCTATAAAATGAGGGCAATTCAGGAGAGGTCTGCTCCTAAGTCAGGTGGCATGTTTTGCTTTTTCTGTCATCTGAAGTCTCTTGTCAGATGGTTGGGGACCTCCTTTGTTCATTTAGAATAAAGTGAAAGTCACGAACAGCCATTTAACATAAGTCCTGACATTGAGGACAAGAGCAATCTCTAAAACATCTATTGATGTCTGTTGAATGTAAGCATTAGTCTTGTGAAAACAATTTTAGCCAGAGAACAATAAAAATAGAACTTACTTTAAATTACAAATGTAATTTCAACAGCTAAATATTATTTAAACATTAGACCAGGCTCAATTCCTACATATTACTGACTGCTACAGATTGGTTTTTTTAGAGTGGGAGGTACAGGGCTATGTGGCATATTCACGTTTAATTCCCATTCTTCCAAATTGAATTCCAGAGGTTCTCTGAATTTACATTATTATTTATAGTAATTAATCAGCCTGCTTTAGAGATGGAGACTTTTAGAAGACCAGGCACTGTAACTGTCTTTATGATTTATGGAATTTCAACCATTGTTGGTGCCAAAATGTTAAAATAACAATGACCATGTTTGGCAAAAAAAGAGATGAATTTAAGTGTATGATTTGAGATACTGCAGAAGGCCAGGATGATTCGGCAGCAAGAGTGTGACTTTCCTGATGGGGAGCTATTAACAAACCTAGGAAGAAACAGGGCACAAAACAGTGCAGGCCACCAAGACACTGCACAAGTGCCATTTATCTGACAAATTACCAAAGTGTTTCTGACCTGCTTTCTAATGCCTGAATGGATCAGAATCAGGTTAATTTCTTACTTCAACCTTTGACAGAATTCTGTTCATGTGCCACTCAATAAATATACTCCTACTCAGAGCTTAATTTCCTCCTGCTATAAATATGCCACCTTTTAATTATATTTAGAAAAGACTTCTAACTGCTGCTGAGCCAGAGTGATAAAATTGTAAAAGTGAATTATACAACATTGCTGCTATGCAATGATACTACTGTTCTATGGTTCCAGGGACATGCTCTTCAGTTATTTTTAGAAAAAGTTGTAAAAGATTTGCACAGAGGGCAGGCCTTTCCTGTCTGCTCCTTAGTCGTGACCAATGGTATGCTTTGTAAGGCTGCCAGGAATAAGGAATGGGGTAGCTCGGGTCATAGTGCAGGCCCGTGGTTCACATGTGGCTTGAACTTTGATCATCCCCCCTAGCATGCCAGTCCAACCAACTGTACACACGCACACTTCAAGGTTAATGCAAGCCATTACAGTCTTCCTCCTGAGTCTAAAGAAAAATACCAGGGGTACTACAATGGCTCTTTTCTGGCAAATTAATATTTCAGCAAGATTGCCAATACAACTAGTCATAAGCTTTGAGTATCACTTAGGGTTCTTAGTAAAAAATGACCTTTTCCCACATTTTCCCTGTGATATGATTAATTCAGTAGGAAGATGCTACGACGAGTGGAATTGAATCTCAAGTAAACATGAATGTGCGGAGAAAAAGCTGCCAAAATGTTAACTAGGGCTTGATTTTTTTTTTGCAGTGCTGGGATTTGAACTCAGGGTTTCACACTTGCTAGGCAGACACTCTACACTTGAGTCACTCCCCCTAGGGCTTGATGTTAAATCGGTAAACTTTTAGATGGAAAAATAAGACCGCTTTCTAGGGATCACGTGACTTCATCATAAGTTTTAAAACTAAGAGTCCTGACTTTGGGTTCCTGCTACCATGTGTAGGCAGTTCTAAAACTGAGCATCACTTGTCATCTTGACTGGAATATTACTTCTGTCTCTCACTGAGTGCCTTGCTCTTTTCTGACAGCATCCAGATCGAATCACTTAGCAGCTGCTAACACAAAGTCCACTGCATGGACGCATGGAGTTTTCCTTCTCTCGGCTCTGTGAAACACTGAAAGTTTGGTTCCCAGAGAAGCAGCTAGCCGCCTTCAGCTAACAAGGAGGACCTCTAGCCTGGGCAGTCCACTTATTCGCGTGTTTTGCACCACAGCCCTGCCGGGAGGCACTGCACCTCCATTTTACAGAGGAAGGAGGTTGGTAACAGGTGGCAGCAGTGCTTACATAACTTGCCCAAGGGTACACAGGCTAGGGAACCGAGGGACAGGGCTGTCACACACAGCTGACATCTTGTGAGATCTCCTTGCTGAAGAAAACCAAGTCGGGAGTCTGCTCCCCGTGCAGTGGGTAGGGGATCTCCCCGGTTTCCACCGCCCGCAACCCCTCCGGGGACCCGCCTCCCGGGCCGCCGGGCCCTCGATAGGCTCGCGCTGGGGAAGGTGGCCGCGGCTGCCCGCCCGCGCGGCCTCGCGACGCCGGAGGCAGGTGGAGCAGCCCTGTCCTCGCCCGCGGCTCCCACACTAACCCCCTGCGAATACCCCAACCCGCTCGAGGGTCCCACGCGGATTCCCTGCTCCCCCAACCCCCCCGCGGGTCCCCTGCCCACGCTCGGGTTCCCGGGTCCCCGCCCGCGGGTCCCAGGCCGGCCGCCCGCGGGCCGGGGGCGGGGCGGGGCGGGGCGGTGACGCGCGGGCCGGCGGGCGGGGCCGCACTCACGCTGCGGGCTCGGGAGCGCACGAGGCCGGCGCCGCGCTCGCGGCTGTTCCCCCCGAGTCGCGCAGGGCGCGGGAGCCGGTTACCGAGCGGACCCGGACGACCTCTGCTTCGTCATTTCCTGCCGGCCCGTCGGTTTCCGGATGAAACGAGGAGCCAGGTCTTTTTTTTTTTTTCTCTTCAGTTTTTGAACGCGAGAGACGCAGCGACGGTCCGGGGGCCGCGCGGCGCGTGAGTGGGGCGGGCGCCTTCCCTCTCGCGTCACCGCCGCCCCGCCCCGTCTGCCCCGCCCGCCCCGCCCGTCCCGCAGCCCGGGCCGGGAGAGGCCGCGCGGCTCGGGTGCGGGGCGCGGGGCGCGGGGCGGGGCGCGCGGGGCCGGGGTCTGGATGTCGTGCCCCGCGTCCACGTGGATCTGGCGTCGCGCGCGGGAAGTAGCGGGTCGGCGACTGCCGGAGCCCCACCCCGGCGCCCGGGCGTGCTCGCGTGGGCGGAGGCGGTGGCCGGGGCCGAAGCGCGTCGGGCTGGGGTCCCCAGGGCGTTGTCCTCCGCGAGACGGCCCGCGCCACTTTAAGGGTTTGCGGGACTGCGCCACGCTGGTCCTGCTATCTTCCCGATCCTAGCAAACCCTGCGTGGCCGAGACCACTGGAGTGTTAAAAACTGATGTGACCAGGGCGCCGTGGCATTGTTAGTTTCAATGACTTCTGGATATTTGAAACAGTCGTGTACTGACTTGAAAACTGTTTCCCAGCGTGAGACAGTTGCTGGCTGCGTAGGAGCTCATCATCCGTGTTGCAGGGTCACAGTTCCATGGTTGGTGGAACCTTGAAAATAAAGAGCCACTTGTCCACGTGCAGGAGGGCTTACCCATTGCTTTTGAGCAAGTGCTCCAGGACCAGCTGATGGCTAATTATAATTCACTCTCGGCCATGTAGCGGTTATATTCTTACTTGATAAGCTGAGATAAGTGTTAGCAATTAATGCTGTCCCCTTAGCAAGTTTTCTTACCTTTGTGGATCTCTGTTAAAATTAAACTCACCTTTGACTGCATAGAGATTATTGATGCAGTAACATTTGCATTAGATTTATAGTGTCAGTATATATTCATTTAGGTATGTAACATATACATGTACTCATACATGTAATTTTGTAAGCAGTTAGAGTCTAAAAAATTAGGCACAATAATAGGGGTTGAGTTGAATACTGATAATTTGCCACTATGCTTGTGTCAAGTGGTCTAGATGTTTTATCTCACTTAATTTTTTGGGGCAAATTTTTCCTTTTTTTTTTTTTTTTTTTTGCTGTACTGTGGATTGAACTCAGGGCCTGGCTCTTACTTAGGCACGTGCTCTGCACTGAGCCATGAGAGCTCCCCGGTCCTTTTCCCTTGTAGTTATTTTTCAGTAGGATCTCAGGGTTTTACCCTGGCTGGCCTCAGAGAAGGTCCTTCTACTTACCGACTCCTGCATAGCTGGAATGACAGACAGGTACCACCACGCCTGGTTTACTGATTAAGATGGGATCTCATGAACTTTTTTGCCCGGACTATACTCCAACCGCCATCTTCCAGATTTCTGCTACTTGCCTCCCAAGTATCTGGGATGGCAGGCATGCTTCTCTGCTTCTGGCCTCAAAATTATTTGAAACATGAGTTTGATATGAATGTGTCCAGGTAACGAATATGTGTATTAAATATTTGCTTCTGCTTCTGTAAATTGAGGGTGTTGGCAGTATTAAAATGACTCAGTGAATGGATATGCTTTTCAAGTTGGCTGATGGCTTTAAAAACACAATTTACAGGTAGTCCCTTTATTTGGGTATTCAGTAGTTTCCAAAAGCCTATCTTATAACATTATCCCCCAATGAACAAGCTATGCTAGGACTTAAGGAAAAGTAAAGCTTTTCTTAAAGGGCCCTTTGTGCCGTATTTCTTAGTGACATTCCTAATTAAGTGCAAACAAATGACATAATGAAAAAAGGAAGACTATTTTTCCAATACCAAAGGAAGGAAATAAACAGCTGGCTGTTTGACCTTGTTGGAGTGGTACAATTTCATTGAGCGTTTGAATGTTAAGAATGTAGATTATTTGAATTGTAGGTAGTTGTGAAAGATTTACGGCTTCATTTTTCAGTTTGTCTTTAAATCTCTTAAAAATATATTCCTGATTGGATCTAGTACTTTATGCATTAAGAAATTAAGGTTTTGGTTGGATTTAACTAAATAGTTTTGGCTTCTGTAATCAAGAATATTTTGAGTATGTTTACAAAAATGCAATTTAATGATTTATATAGGTATACCAGCTCCAAAAACATTGATTCTGAGAATGATGGTGGGGTGCCACAGCTGCATCTTGTGAGTAGCAGCGATTGGAAGGACAGGAAAGGCTGCAGAAGGTGCCTAGAGATGGGTGTTACTGTGGCTAAAGCATCCACCATGGAAGAGGAAAAGACTGGGAAAGCTTTGCCAGGGGAATTCACTAGAGGGCTTCAGTATTTGAAGGCATTGTCTTTGGGAGGGGCAGATAGAGAGCTGCTGCCATTGGTGGGAGGAGCTAAGAAGGAAAAGGTACGCATTTTCTTTCAGAGTGAATGCCTGTGGTGTAACCGATTCTTGCCACCCCACACATGCATCTTCAGGCATGTTCCCAGCTTTGATATTTGTGAGCAGTCACTGGTAGATGAGGTAAAACAAGGAAAAAGTGGGAGTCAGGAATACCCCAAAGCAGAAGGGATATAAGCCAAGCATTATTAACTTAACTGTGAAATTTAGGAACCATTAACAAAACTATTCCAGTAATATTGGCTAATTGAATAATGTTTTTAAACCTCCTTATCTCTTGATATAAGGAGATTGTCCCATTAATGTGCTTTATAGACAGTGGAACAGATTAAGAATATAGTACGGTACAATAAGTGAAAAGTTCACGACAGCCCTTTCTGTATGTCACCGTTGGAAAGCCATAGTAACTAGTGACAGCATTAGCTTCTGTCTGCAAAGTGTTTAAGTGATTTTTTATTTCCTATGATAAGACAAACCTTCTCATTCCTTTCTTTAAAACTTGGTTCTGGGGCTGAGGCTGCACTTCAGTCGGAGAGCACTTACCTAGCATGCCTGAGGCCCTGGGTCCCATCCCCAGCACCACCAAAACCAAAACAACAAAAGAACTTGGCGCTTCTGCCCTTTAACTCCCAGAATGCAGGCTTTTTCCGTACCCAGTACCTTGGGCATACTAATCCCCCTCTTAGCTACACCTCAGCCCTAAAGATGTTCTTTTTTAAAGTTTCAAAATAGTGTAAACAATTGCAATGGCTCTAAAGTGCAGAAGTAGTGCTGAATTTTCCAGATAGAAGTTTATCATAAAATGCTCGAGGTGACAAAGGGGAGAAAATGAGTTTTGAACCTCAAAGCTAAATGAGCATTTTAACTTTCGGTAGCTGTTGGTTTCTAGGGTAGTGATTTACCAGGACACAGGATGATGACTTAATTTCCTGATTTAGTGTCAAAGAATTATGCCAAATAAAATAGTATTGAATGACACATATCTTATTGCCTTTTTTTTTTTTTTTTAGCACTTTCGAGATTTAACTTACTAATGGTGACTTATCAGAATGTGGGTGTGATGGAGGTTTTCTGTGCTTCTGTCCATTTGCTTTGTCCTTCTGTGGAATTTTGACCTTACTTTTTCAGCTTGGGTTGAGCAATTGACAACACCGTTTGGGTCAGGAGGTCTCTTGTAACCAAGTAATATTTTTTGGTAGAAAAAAAATGTAAAATTGTGCTGTTGATTTGGTTACAAACCTGGAATCAAGTAAGTCTGGAGCCATGTGGAGGACCTATCAACAAAATCCAGCAAGATAAAGACACTCTCTGAAAGCCTAGTTCTGTATCCCTCCTGTTGGGAGGGAGCTGACAGCGTTACTTTGTGGGTGGTGGGCTTCCACAGTCACTGAATGTCACTGACCGTGTGTGACTGCATGCACGCTTTGCCACACCTGCTGTCCAGGGATTGCAGAAGAAAGTGCCTTGGAAGGAAGCATGGGCCACCAGGCCAGTTAGCAGCCCTGGTGGCCACTGCTGCACAGGTACAGTGCTCCGTGTGGCAGATACTTACCACGGGGAAGAGTAGCATGTCATCTGTCTTGGGGTTGGTTCATTATTGTAATGTCACGTGAGGTGGACTGCATTGAAGCAATTGGGAATTAAACGTATTGCATTTTGTGTTCTATTTAAATATCCAAAGATCTCGCTTGGAAACCTTAACTTAAAAGACTCTATATCAATGTGTTATCCATTTGGCACATCAGGCTCTTTCCTGGATGGAAGGTTTTTAGTGAAAGAGAATAAGATGCATGGATTGATTGATTGTAAGCCAGTCAAGCTAGCATGATTTCATAAAGTTGCTGCTACTCCATTAGTGAATTTTAGGGTTATAGAACTAGATGCTAAACACAGTCTAGTTTGGAAACTGGGAGTGTATATCAGAATGACCCAGAATTTGTTATAAAAGTAACATACCCAGAGATTCAGGTCCGATAGGGCTGTGGTGGGGCTGGGCGTCTGCGTTTTAATCCATCCTCAAGTGATTCTTGGGCCTCTTCCCCTGTAAAAAGAACCAGCCCTGTATTTTACAGATAAGAAAATCAGGGCAAAGTAAAATGACTTGCCTACAGCTGGTCTTGTGGTACCAACAGTTTATGACCAGATAATTTGGAATTCTAGAATTTTGTGACTAGAAGAAATTTTCTAGGTCATCAATCCAGTAGCTCACTTTATATCCGAATATAAAATGTGCTTATTCATACTATTTCCAAGTAAGATATGGATGCAGAGCAGTAGTGTTTTATTAAAGTCTGTTCTGTCCTGGCTGTGGTCAAGACAGAAGTCAGTGGCCAGAATTTCCATATAATTTTGACTGATGCTTTGTTTTATTAGTTTCAGAAACTGTTGAAACTAATAACTAATTGTTGATTATCTGCAATACTTTTGTTGTCTACCCTGTGGTACTCTTTTAAGTTTTTTTTTGAAATACTGTATTTTTAAAACTGAAGTGAAACATTAAAATTTCTGATTGGAATTACTTATTTTTCAATCTTACTAAAATAAAAT